CTGGGTCTTTACAAACTAGATTTTAGGGTAGAGTTAGTTCCTGCTAAAGTTCTCGCCATCTCGCCTTTGCGTTGATGAGTATGAGTAGAAAATTCGAATTACACGAAAAAACTGCGAGATGACTATCTTTGACTGGCTTATGAATCCCAGGTTCTCTGCGCGGAAAGGTAAAGTTTCTGCCCATCCTCTTTTTTTGAGACCAGATTTACAGGCGTGGCATGCAAATAGCATAGGATCGTCCCCGAAGGTTTATCAACGCGGGCAACTCATTATCGAGCACACCCAGCTAATTGATGCTGCCAACTAATAACTCAACCACGCCACCCTACTTTGATGAACCATCCTCAGATCCCAGAAACAGTTTTGTGTCGGGCTTTATTTTTCGTTCAAGACGTCTTCTGCTGCTACTCTCTAAAGGTTGTGCACCATTTGCGTCGCCCTGGTCCCGCGATAGTTGTTTGCAGCTCGGTTGAATAGCTGCAGATTACTGTGGGCGAAGGGGGGTGGCCGGAGTTCCGTCGCGCCGATTCCGTTGTTCCTCATCGACGAATGGGGTTTTTGCTAACATTGTCAGTCCATGCGTGGTCATTCGCAATCAATCTCGCATTTGCGAACGTTTGCATATATCTTTTGCACTCTTGTGGTGTGTATCGTGTATGTTTTCTTGAGAATCTGGAGTATTTTCTGTTCCAGGAATGCTTTCTCGGACGCTGTTGCTTGCTCTACTTGGGACACTCACTATTCCAGCAGGTGCGTTGCCTTTGTTCACCTTAATTATTTATTTATTTATATATTACCTTTCTTGGAAGAGTCGCATCTGCATACATCTCAAGAATTGCATTTAAACTTCGCGCACGACAGTACTCGTACAAGAGTTTTAGGTAACATTGATGGGGTGTATGTTGAGTGGCGCGATTTTCGGTTTCACTAAGGATTAGATCTACATTAGGCTTTATGTTATGTGGAGGTTTTACCTTATAATAGTGTATTACCTTTCAATAAAAAATGTACAAGCAGCCTGTTCTATTGCAGAATCATAATTAAACAGAACCAGCCAGGCATACGAGCTGTAAGTCAGAAAATGTCTAAAAAATGGGACTGGGATGCTCTTGTCGGTAGCTCCATCACAAAACAATATCGAGCTCTTGTGCTGACTATCATCAGCATTTAAAGTTAGAACTCTTTTTTTTTGTTGTCTCGAAGAGCTCAAAAACTCAATACCCTTTTATTGTGTTTTGAGCATGCATATAAAGTGACAGCCGGCAAAAATCGCGCCACTCGACCGCCTCCCACATTGATGAACTTAGTGAGACTGTTTTTGTTTAATGAACTATTATGCATTTGCGTTTTCTTGGCTCTAAGGACTGTTAATGATTGGCTCTACGTCATATCTCAGTTTATATTTACACTTGGTAACCTTTTCTTCAATATTAGAAAGTTTTCTTTGACAAGTGCCGGAGCGCCATGTGTTGACAGGCTGAGAAAGTGGTTGCTGCCTTTTTTTCTTATGACCTGATCTCAGCTTCCCTAATTTTGGACATAGATGAGTATAATTTTTTAATAGGAGATTTTATGGTTCACAAATTCCCATCATAGTGAAATATTTATGTTTACTGAAGCCATACTCTGAGTTTGACGAACTTTTCAATTCTCTAATATTACGAAGTGGACGTACCTATCATATTTTTCAACAAAGTGGTGCTTTGAAACTAATTTAGAGTAAAAATATTGTGAAAGAACATGGCAGTAAAATCTGAAATTGGCATAGTTGTTTCCATAGTATCAGATCAAAAGCAAAATTTCAATCCAATCTTGTTAAAATGAGAGAATATTTCAGTGCTTGTTCATGCGGAAGACACCGTTGATGGTGAAGTGACCGAAGACCAAGATATTGCGAAAACGGAAGACGATGAGTTGGCTGTAACCTCTTCTTCTGATGCAGTGGTTTCATTCATCTTTACACAACCTGCTGACGCCAACACTGTCAAAGGTAGTGCCCACCACTTTTGTTTTAGCCAGAGCTGTGAATGCTCTTTTATTCGTTTATCGCTATTCTTCTAGAGCTATATGGAGGGAAGGTTGTGAAATTTTTGATTGGATTCCAAAATCGAG